AGAGTTCGCTAGTATTGAAGTACAATAATGAATCTGATAGAGAACGCTCTTAATCAATCACAATGTAGTGGTTTAGTTTATGTAGTATCCTAAAAAAATCAATTAGCATCTCAGCACTTCAGCACCCGCCCAGCACCTGAGCACCTACTCAGCACTTTTCCAGCACCTCAGCACCTACTCAGTACCTCAGCACCTGCTCAGCACCTCAACACCTGTCCAGCACTTTTCGGTGTTTTTCGGTGCTGGGTGCCAGCACTTACCCCCTTGACTGAACTACTTTTGTAAATAAAAATAACTCTCTATACGAAAATTCAAAGCATCTTTTTCCAAACCAGAAGTCAGCCATGTCTTGATTTTTTCTATTTCAGATAATAACCACATCTATGTAACATTTCCAACAATTCATGCACAAAAAAAAACACATTGTAATACTTTTAAATCATTAGCAATCAATAAGATTACTCCAGCGTAATCGAGACACGTCTTGCTAACTCTTAATTGATTTAATATCATTCTACATACACACCCACACCCATATCAATCGGCGCCCCCCTCCCTAGGTTCTTCATAATCCTTTGATTATAACGTATAGATTATTGTACTTTAATTATAATGTCATTATATGAAATTATTTGAAAAAATATAACCTAGTTAAAGACATCTGATCAGATACTTCAACAAAATGGAAATCTGGATAATGGTGTGCTTAATATTCACTTGAAGAAAAAATCTCTTTAATCTATTATTGGAAGTTTTCTTCGAAACTTTCGGATAATAGTATCTTATGCTTACTGTGAGATTAGAAGTGTCCTTATAAACTTTGAACTACAGTAATTCATAGTAGGAGAGATACATTATTATATCATTCTTCAATCATTAACAATTGATAACATTACTCAAACGTAATCGAAACGCGTCTTGCTAGCTTTTCATTAATTTAATATCATTCTACAAGCATACACCCAAACCCTCACATAAGTCCTGTAACCTGAAGAAGATTGACAGACAGACAAATGTGTTTTATCATAGAAGTATGGATAGAAATAGTGATGTTTTTTGCTTTTACTTTTTCCCTTTCACGTTCTGTACACCAGATCAGTAGAGTGCGCTTTTATCGTCATTCATCTTCTCTCACCACGTGTCACTACACATACATCATGTCGAAAACAAAAGGATCGTTTTCTTTCCTGCACTTGAAGAGATCTGATTTTTTTCTCGAGCACATTTAGTTATCAAAACGAATGGTGAAAAAAACGCATCGAAACAAAACATATCGAGTGATGAAAACATCGAACGATAATTACGTCGAAACAAATGTCGAAAATGTTAGTACACAATAGTTTGATTCATTTAGGTGTAAATAAATTCACCGATGTTTTGAAAAGGAAGAAACTTTTTTAAAAATCATACACAGGTAGAGTTCATCGGGTCCAGGAATTGTTGCATTCGACTAAAAAATATTTCTTGAACCCTCATCTGACTGATGAAATTTTTGTGGACCTGGTCGACTCAAATTGTTGGATTCGGACTTAATGGCCCGTACACCCAAGTGATGTTGTATGTAATAGAAAAAATAACAAAAGTGACGTAAAAGTAAGGATGCATGTTGATTATTAAGGTTTATTTGTTTTGCTTTGCTACAGTTAATGACAAAGTAGTCAATAGTTCATTAAGATCAGTTTCATTATTAATGTAGTTTTCATTGAAGTATTAATACGTCATTCTATTGAATTGGTCGATGACATTTTTGACCGAGGTCGTGCACCAGTATTGATTTGTAATAACATGCGTCTAAATTGAGTTTCTTCACCTTGGAGACACAACCTAATAGTGAATTGTCCATTGACGCCAGCTTCAAATTTGTCGACACTTTTATACGTTCGATATTTTTTCTTTCGATATTTTCATTTTGCGATCATTTTTTCTTCGATCTTTTTTATGATCGACATTTTTTCTCTCGATATTTTTCTTCGACCTTTTTACGTTCGGTATTCTTTGTTTCTGCCTTTTCTATGCATACCACGAAACCGAATGACGAATGCTTTGATGCTTCGCTCGTTCTTTTTTTATAGATCATCAACGTAGCATACAATTAACGAACCTCAATGCGTTCGCCGATTGAACACAAGATAATTTAACTATGATCACATTTTTTCTGTTTCTGAAAGTTGAACTAATGCTGCTGATAGAACTCTCCTCACACTTAATTTATAATTCAGACGCAATTACTTGCATTTCTTCCACAAACAGCATACGTCTATTCGTCGTATGCTTTAAACACGTCGGACATCAATAGAACATTGTAAAACTTTACTGATTGTATATCCATGAGCTTTTTTTTCTAGACATTAATGAACAAAATGATGAACGGATTGGAAATCGAGCGTCAGACATTAAGCACGAGCAATGCTCTCATCAATAACAATCATGGAGAAATAACCGACATTCTTATTGCTGGAGCTGGAATTAGTGGTCTTGTCACTGCCATTTGCTTGCATCGTGCTGGTTTCTCTGTTCGCATTCATGAACGGGCTCAAAAACTTGAGGAAGCAGGTTTTGGTGTGAATCTCCAACCGTATTGCGTTAAGTTATTGTACGAGCTCGGACTCGAATCCGAAATGAATGAAGCCGGCATTCGTAATAATAAAGCGGTTTTCTATTCACACAATGGACAGCCTGTTTATCAGGATCAGAGAGGCCTCGATGCAGGTTACAAATGGCCGATGTATTCAATGCATCGAGGTCGCTTTCAACAACTTCTGCTTCGTCATGTACAAGAAGAAATGGGTCCAGACACTGTTCGGCTCGGCCAAAAGTTAGTCACATTTCGATTGCAACCGCATCATGTTGAAGTCGATTTTATGAATTTAAGTACTGGTGATTTGAATACAGAAAGAGCCAAAGTGCTGTTAGCTGCTGATGGAATCAATTCGACTGTACGTAAAATTCTTTATCCAGATGAGGGTCCTCCTCTTTGGCAAGGTATCACCATGTGGCGCGGTGTGACACGTATGGATAAGCTCTATTTGGATGGAAGAACCATGATTTTTGCTGGAAATCCGGATGATCGTGCATTGATTGTCTATCCTGTAAGCGAAGAGCTCGTTAATTGGGCTTTCACGGTTCGAATTCAAGAGCCAGGCGTACGACCTGCGCCGGTGGCAACCGATTGGCATCATCGCGGTCACATTGAAGATGTTCTTCCATTATTATCGGATATGAAACTAGACTTTCTGGACATTCCTAACCTCATACGTTCGTCGATTATCGTCAATCAGTTTCACGTCACTGATCGCAATCCATTACCTCGCTGGACATATGGCCGTGCTACTTTGATTGGTGATGCCGCTCATCCTATGTATCCCCATGGCGGAAATGGATGTTCTCAAGCTATTCTCGATGCTCGTGGCATTGTTCTGGCCTTTCGTACACATGGGATAACGCCAGAAGGTCTCGAAACATACGATCGACTACGAAGAACAGCCTCACAGGATGTGGTTTTGGCTGCTCGCGAGTTCGGTCCCGATAAGATCTTGAAAATAGTCGCCGAACGATCTCCATTTGGATTTCAAAACTTGTCGGAGGTCATCTCGTCAGAAGAACTCGAGAATATGCTCTCAGTGTACAGAAAGCAAGTCCATTGGAATGTTGAAAAATTGAATCAAGAGCCACCGCTCTTTTGAACCGTCTCCTACTTATAAATATTGAAATTTCGTCAATCTCTCTAACATGTCCATATTAGCCTCTGCTCTGTTTCCCTTATGACACTATTTACGCCAATTCGCTCGTGTTTAATTATATAGTGCAACAGATTAAATCTTTGCTATGATCATTTTGAATTTTCATGGCCTTCAAGTTTCGCTTTTATTTCATTTCATCTTCATCAGTCAATGACAAAACTATGGCTTCTGTGAACAATAGGAATCAAAACTCTTCTATTTACAGACACTGCCACGCTGTAAAAGTATGAGTGGAGAAAAACAAACTCTTGCTATCCGTTTATTACCATTAGATAAACTTCTTTTCAGGTTTATGAGCGTAATGTAACGTTTCATAAACCTTTCTTTTTTTCATCAACTTTGACAAGGATTTATTGTACGTTGCACATTCATAGACCAGTGTACTGTTTTTATTCTTAATAAACCCTTTTTTTTAGTATCTGAATGGAATCAATCCTCAGGCAAAAGATTTATTATTACGCGTTTTCAAATCAAACCGTAGAACAGTGAGCCCTTCACCTGAGGGTTTATCCCATTCATATACTAAAAAACGAGTTTATTAAAAATAAAAACAGTGCAAGGGGTTTATGAATGTGCAACGTATAATAAATCCTTGTCAAGCTTGATGAAGAAAAAAGGTTTATGAAACGTTAGATTACGCTCATAAACATAAAAAAGGGTTTACTCAGATCGATCAAAACGGTGTCGTTTACGACCCGAAAATAGACCGTAAGTGCTGCAAAAACAGGATATTTACGGCAGTATACGATATCAATATGTTACGTTTTCGGTCCGTATCATTGGGCGCAGAAATACGTACCGTATATTGATCGAATACGATGCGTTGTACTGTTCATTAATGGGCCATGTTTGCAATGTTTTTGCAACGTAAACCACCGTATGTCGATGCATACGACGTGGCCTACTATCGTACTCTATATGCTTAGTTCGCTGAAGAATGAGGAACTTCACAGGTCTCTCCCACTCTGACACAATTAGATCACCGAAATATTTCTTTATCTGACAGAAATTTTCGGAAGGATCACGTTTTGTGATTCTTCTTAAATAAAAAATTATTTCGTGGAACATAATTTTAAAAATTTGAAACTGAAAAATACATCTAGAAAAATCGTTCGTTTTAACTTAAATAAAAAAGTTTATTTTAAAGCATAGTAAAAAAGTCATAATTTGAAAATAATTAGAAAATTGTTTTTTAAAATGAAAAATACTTCTATTTAATAATAGCGTTTAGTGTCATTTAAATAAAAAAATCATTCCGGAAGAAAAAAAATAAATACTGGCATTTCAAACAAATACTCAATTGGTCCTAAACGAAAAATAATTTGTTGTCAAATTATTTGAAAAGACTTAAATTTGAATTTTTTAAAAAATAAACATTTACATTTAAATAAATCGTTCAGTTTTATCTAAATAAAATTATTTACTTTAAAATAAATAAATATTGACAATTTAACAAAACCTTTCATTTGATCTAAATAAAAAAATAATTTATCTAGACAAAATAAATAGTTACATTTGCATGAATTTTTCGATTTATCATAAGTGAAAAATAATTTGTTGCAAAATAAATTAAAAGGATTTAAATTTTAAAATAATTTTTAAAAAGTTGCTTTTAAAATTCTTATATTAAAGTATATTGTTCAATTTGATCCAATAAAATCTTTTATTTTACAGTAAATTAAAAAGATTTCAATTCGAACAAAATTTTTTTAAACATAAACACTTACATTTAAACACATTGTTGAATATGATCTAAATAAAATGATTTGTTTTATTATAAATCAAACAAAATCGTAAAAAAAATATATTTGAATAAAATGTTCGATTGGATCTCGACAAAACAGTAATTTGTTTTGAAATATTTTAATAAAGTTTACTTTGAAAAAAATTTTTAAAGTTTTTTTCGATAAATGCTTACATTGGAATACATGGTTCAATAGGGTGTAAATAAAATTATCTGTTTTCAAATACATGAAGAAAAATTATTTAAAAAACAATACTTACGTTTTAATTTTTTGGATTTGACCTAAAAAAAGTAGTTTGCTTTCAAATAAATTAAAAAAGGTTTTAATTAGAAAATAATGTAGCAAAACTTTGTTTTTAAAAAAAGATTTACAGTAAATATATCGTTGGATTTTATCTGAATAAAACAACTATTTATTTTAAAACAAATTTCAAATACTTTCATTTTAAAATTAAAAAAATTTTTCGTTAATTAACAAATACTCATAATGTTTGGTATTTTGCGCAAAACAGAATAGCCCCTACGCATCTGTGGTACTTACCATTCATCGAAGAAACGACGCACGAATAATCTTTAAAACAATTATATATAATTTTTTGCATTACCTCAATAATAAAGTCAACATGAAGGGCGATGAAGCTTTGTAGTCAGACATCTTTAAGAGTGGAAGGTTGTTGTATCTTACAGAACTCAAAGAAAGCTATTGATCGATATATAAAACGACCGAAAAACACTGCCAGAAGCTTGACATTAATAAAACAGAAAAAAAATTTTGATTGAGACCCAACTAAAGAAAATATGTTATGCCTATTTGGGTGTGGGTGGGTGTGGATGTGGATATGGCTCCGGGATGTGGCTTTGGGTGTTTGGCGTGGCTGTGGGTGTGAAGTGTGGCTGTGGGATGTGGCTTTGGGTGTGTGGCGTGGCTGTGGGTGTCAAGTGTGGCTGTGACTGTGGCTGTGGGATGTGGGATGTGGCTTTGGGTGTGGGGTGTCTGTCTTCTATTCCACAACAACCACACTCACAGACACAGGCATACTCACACGCTTGGTAAATCAGCATTGGCAAATAGGACTGCGACGAAGATTAGCACATGAACACAGCGTTCTGTCTGTAATGACTCACCGATATTTCACAAGAATGTGTGTTCAATGGGGAAAATGTGTCACAGCTGTTCATGGAAAATTAGATGCACGTACAAACGAAGTTGGTACTGACATATGTGTCACGATATCAGTATTTAAAAAGACACCGCCATCCTCCACTCCATATAAAACTCAATGAAGAGACACTCGTCTTAAGGGCTCAACCGGCAAAAAAACGGGTCCTGGTGAGAGGTCCGCGAAAAATTAATTTTGTCTCGTTTTATTTCTATGCCAACCAACCTACAATGATCTTGATACTTTAGTCTCTTTATTGTCCGTAGTTCATTTAGCGTCTTTAATCCTTTAGTCCCTTTAATCCATTTAGTGCCTTTAATCCCTTTAATCCCTTTAGTGCCTTTAGTCCCTTTAATCACTTTAGCGCCTTTAATCCTTTTAATCCTTTTAGTCCTTTTAGTACCTTTAATTTCTCTGGTCTCTTTAATCCTTTTAGTCCTTTTAGTTCCTAAAAGGTACTAAAGGAACGAAAGGGACTAAAGGGATTAAAGACACTACGAGGGTTAAAGAGACTAAAAGGGCTAAAGGGACAACAGGAACTAAGACATTCTAAAAGGTTTATGAGAGGTGTAAGGATAAAAGTAAAACGGGACAAAATAAATTTTTCCTGTACGTATGGTCCCGATCTGCCGATTGAGAAAATCTCCACAGCCCAAGCCGTAGGCCGGTCAACCGGTTAGTTGGATGTCGGTTTGTGGATTGGATTCCAGCTCTGGGTCCAATTGACAGTACAAAAGTTTTGTGTTTGTTATTGTACAAGAGTAGTAAGAGAATCGTTGAATATGCCAAAAACTTGGTTTTGATTGATGGACCAATAGACATTTACTTCTCCCGTAAATCTCAGTGTGAAGGTGGAAAAAACAGTTGAATATGATAGTTTTGTAGACCGGACAGTGCTCTACAAAATATGCTGTCGAACTCTAATGTAGATTTTATACAAGCGAAGCTATAGTCATTTTCTGAGGATATATTTCTATGTGAAACGGATATTGGTCAAAAACGAGGTTAATAAGAAAATAAAAATTTAGATGCATTATATGGGAACCAAAAAATACTGACGTATCACCATTTGTAGGGCAGAATTTGCACTGCAATCTGATATATCAACCAAAGAAGCCTGCCAGATAAGATGCCAAATCTGGCGTCCCCGCCTATGAGATATAATTCTAGTATGTAATATATGAGAGCCTGCGATTTTCTGAACATTCTGATATATTTTTGAAACTGTTTTCGTATTCAGAAAAAGTTGACTAGGATCACTTTTCTGACGGGCAGTGTACGAATCATAGATACACATGTACGTACAATGTCCTTCAGATTTTTTTAACTGCATAGTTCAATCAAAAACTGTATAGTAGCATAGGATGCACCTAGATGCCCTTCCTAAATTGAGTACGAATAATCAATATTTAATGCCTTTGTTGTAATGAAATATAGGACTCTAGGACCCAGTTGAGACTATTTCTCACAATTATGCTGTACCCAACGTTGCAACAATATTCTTCGTTTTCATTGGGACTTCAAATGATATAAATGAAACCTTGTCAGAAACTGCCCCTGACTCCCTCTGTGAACTGAATTGGTTTCCGCTGAAAAAAATGAGCCTAAGTAGTTGCTTATTATACACATTTTTTGAGATGCACCATTTTTGAAACGTTTCTCAGCGACCTTCGCATGCTAAGTCGAGACCCGGAGTTTTCGTAGTAGGTGTCCGATTCTCATTTGAATGTCTCCCGACTTTATTTAGTAAGAAAGCGCCCAATATTGCAGGGTGTGAGTCCCTTCATTAATGGTGATGCAATCAAGCAAAAGTTTATATGTGACATCATTATTGTCCTTCGTACTTCTCGTGCAAGTTCCAGATATCATTACCAAAGTAGGGCCCATACATGACATCTGGCTCGTTAGGATAGACAAAACTGTTAACCGATGTTTGAAGACCGGATCGCGTGTCTGTATTGTATTGTTGAATCCATGGGCCACCCGAAGAGCCGCCGTTCATACCGCACGACATTTTCACGCCACAAAAGCCACCTGACCAGAGGGACCAAGCCGACTTCGATGATGCAGCACAAGTACTCATGGCTTGACCATTTGCAAAGTTAACCGGATAGCCAAAAGAGTGAATCCATGCCTTCTTATTGTAATTTCTAGTCATTCCTAAGGCCCCAGTGTACTCTTGTACATGTCGACCTTGATAGTTTGTATCAAGTAGTACAACAGCCACGTCATAATTATAGTTTTGCTTGTTAGTCCAAGCATTCAGCGCTGCCATTTTACGCCACACCCACTTGCCAAATGGCTGAGAACCACTCGAGTAACGTGGCACAAAAATCCAATCTGAGGCCCATTGTTGTAAAGTATAGTCGAAAACACAATGAGCGGCCGTGAGCACCGTGTCCCGATTGGGAGCCACCACTACCGCTGCCGAGCACAGATAATTTCTTCCATTCATCACGAAGAAGACTTTGCCTACCGTAGACGGCACGCTAGATGATCGAAGAACAGAACTTTCGTTTATAGTAGGCATAACGCCTGGAACCCACTGCTCCGGACCATCTTGGCGTTCATATTGTCCCCATCGATCGGTGCCGTTGATCATTACAACTTCCATGGGCTCAGCCGAGGCCATACGCTCCGGAGTCCAGAATTCGACAATGGACTTCACATGTGATTCGCGTGTTGATCCACGAGGAGTGATTCTCTCGATACTGACATCACCGCCTCCATGACCATGACTCCAGGCTCCCGGTACAAGGCTGGCGCAAAGGATATAAAGTAAAAATCGGTCGGTCATCATCAAATTGCGGAGTAAATGAGATTGTGAAAGTCGTAACGACTGCTTTTTTAAGCACGAAATCCGATACTATATCAATCATTGTTCTGACATTCATGACAAAAACATGTAAATTCGATATCAGAGACGCCCAAATAGGATATACATTCCTTCGACTGAAATTGCGTCTGAAGAACTGATGAAAATGAGGAAGTGATGAGTGTGAAAAGGATCAGATTTCATTGACATGCACAATATAGAAATAGCTTTCATCTTAGTTTGATTCACTACTCCTCTTAATTCAACATGAAAAGCAAACGGAAGCAGCAATAGAATTGATCACATTCTGCTAGATAATTTCTCCAGTTAGATTTTTACATCAAGTTTTTCGTTCTGATAGTTTAGGATCAAGAATTTTCTGTAGATTTTTTCTGTTTTTTTTAGTAGTGACTCAGCATCCGCCGATATTATGCGCAAAGGCAGGCGTTTGATGTTCATAATCAATTTTTTTGAACGAAGTCGGATTAGAGCGATTGCTGATTTGTCCTAGTTTGGCGCTTAGTTGAGCACTGAGGTCTCTATTTGATCATTGCTCTTTTTTTCTCTGAATAATGAGTGCGATTATACCTTGTGAAACACGATTGTTAGTGAATATTGGAGTATTCAGCGAGAAATGCGGACCTCATCTACAGCCTGATCACCAGACTCTGACTGATATGTGTACGTTCTGTTGACGTCATCACAGACTGTCGCAAACATGTCGATATCTTGATTTTCGCCTCCATGACAAACAATGAAAGCTATTTGCGTATGTCATCCTGGTCGCGTGACAGATATGTCCGAAGCGCCTTTACATCGGGTCAAAATGTATTGGATATATTGAGGTTTTTGTAGCCCATGACTGACCGTAACGAAGATGTGAGATGTTATCTGAACCACGTCACAGACCGTTATAAACATGTTGATAAAACCACTTCAGCTGCGATTGAGTATTGAGGAAAGTTCAGGAAAGTCCATCATGATATGGCTTGACAGTCATCTCTCAATAGAAGAAAGAGACTACCTGGATCAAGGGGGAAACAGCTGACTTCAAGACTTCAAAACTTCAAAAGACTTCACGAGACTTCAAGAGACTTCGAGACTGTAGAAGTGTTTGAGAAGCTTTAGAAACCCCGTGAACGTAGGTGCCTCAAATTATGGACATCGCATCGCAAAATTCTCAACCTCATTTTATTAGCCTGAGAAGTGGAACTTCTTCCTGACTATTTTTCAGAAGTTTATTTTATATTTTATCACTATTCAATATATTATACCTGAGATACCTCTCAGGCATCAAAAGAAAAATTCTCCGCCGTTTTATTAGAAGTTCTTATAGGTTGATAGAGTTAAGTGTGTATGTCAGAAATAGCACATATTTTGAAAACTAGCCGGATAGAAAGAAAGATCTGAAATACTTTCTGAAAGTCCTAAAACATAATTTTCGTCCTGAAAGTCCATTAAAATCTTATTTGGTTCTTTGAAAATAGTCTCATTCGATGCAAAATTTTTTGTGTACTCAAAAAGTGAGTACACTAGAATCGGCCAGTGTGTCCGTCCGTTTACACGATAACTTTTGAAAGGAGAGTGCGATCTTGATGAAATTTTGTACACAGTATCGTCTCGTCAATGTCTCGGTCGAGCTCGAAGATGAGAATGATTCGTCGAGCCATTGCTGAGTTATCGCAAAAAAAGTCATTTTTCCCTATACTTTTCTATTAGATTATTGAATCTATTTCGGTTTTCTTAAAAGAACTTTTCCTCTCATAATCAAACAAAACCCCACGCTATTATATACCATTCGATACAGAATTTCACGAGCTACAAAATGGTATATAAAACATTAGGAAACAAGAAGGCTAAGTCACCTATTACAAAGACACTTCAACGAAAATTGCTTCTGTGTTTGTCCACGCCCTGATTGATCGAAAATTAAAGCCCCATCTTCCAATCAGAAAAACGATACTTCGAGGTTTTATCAAACTTGAACAAAGGTTTTCTAGGGCGGAGAATTTGAATCTGTGCTCCACTTGCCTCGAAATCCTATTGGTTAAGCAGTAACCAATACAAAATCAAGTTTTAAGAAAAAGGGGTTGCTTAGATAATTTTGATGTCTAGACTATGGATGCAATGGTGACGATAACCGTAGACACGGTTACCGGTCCAACTACGGTAACCATACCTACACTTATCGGCTCAAGCCGATTTTCGTCAAAGAAAGAATTTTAAAAAAAAATAATGATTTTTTATAAAGGTTGACGAAAGTAAATCGGGGTCGGGGAATCTGAATCTACAATCGGTTTTTCGAAATTTTGAGTTTCGATTTCCCAGCAAAAATTTTCTTTCTCCAAGTCGTACTTTTTCTAGAAAGTTATTTTCCATTGCGAAATGATTATTTTCCTAAAGAAAACGTTCTATGTTGAAAATGGAACGCGAAATTTCAAAAAACTGATTTCAAATTCGGATTTCCTGATCCTGATTTACTTTCGTCAACGTTTATAAAAAATCATTATTTTCTTAAAAAATTCTTTCTTTTACGAAAACCGAAATAGGTCAATAATCGCATAGAAAAGCATAGGGAAAAATGACTTTTTTTGCGATAACTCAGCAATGGCTCGAGGAATCGTTCTCATCTTCGAATTCGACCGAGACATTGACGAGACGATACTGTGTACAAAATTTCATCAAGATCGCACTCCTTTCAAAAGTTATCGTGTAAACGACCGGACGGCCGGACACACTGATCGATTCTAGTGTACTCACTTTTTGAGTACACAAAAACCACCGTTCTGCTAAAACAAGACCATCGAAAACAAGACAGTTTCATTAGTTTCTTAAGAGTTTTCATGCACTAAGTGTATTTCAAAAGTTCCAAAGGATTCATGAGACTTCAGAAGACTTTCAAGACTTCATGGGACTTCAGGACCGAAGTCTCTGCTGTTTTCCCCTTGACCTGGATGTGGCTGCGGATTTCGGATGTGGGCATGAACTGTGTGCGGGTATGGACAGGGGTAAAGACATGGAGAAAAAGTGGCTCCTGTGATCCTTGGGTCCCGGGGGATTCTACGGATTCTGTCAGCTCCTTTTGGATTCTAGCGGCTCCTGATGGATTCTGACGGCTCCTGGTAGATGCGACCAGGAGGCACCATAATCCACCAGGAGCTGCTAGAATCCAAAAGGAGCTGCCAGGAGCGGACAGAATGCGTAGAATCCCCCAAAATCCAAAGATTCCAGGAGCCGCTTTTTCTCCTTTGGGCAAAGAGAAGAGCCACACAGCCATAACCACATCTACACGCACAAACACTCACCCCACACCCAAATGGCATGGGTGCACGAGCTATTCGCTAAAATGATTTTCTGATAGTGATTATTCCGTCACTATTTTGGGGTTATCGCCGTCCTCTTGACTGCTTCCGCTTTGCTTTTTTCTGCTCAGTACAAATCTCTGACATCCAGATTGCTTTTCACATTATGTTTATTGCTAAAACCATTGAAGTAAAAGCCACATTGTCGAAAAAATGAATTCTCTTAACTGTTATACCATTCTCTAACGTAGGTATTAAACTTTTACATATTTTAGCTCGATATTAGGAACCACTTTTTTGATGCTGTTCACCAAATTCCATCTAGCATGAGTTCAATGAGATATATTAAATGATAATTTGATGTATCATTGCTCACATAAATTAGCAAGTTTTTGTAACATACTGAATATTTGATTGTCATTCATTTTTTGTTAACATCACTATCTTTATTGAACTTTTCTTCTGAAAATTTTGAATTTCTTTCAGAACATTGCTATGAATTCGACTAGCAATTGTTGTTTCATCATTTTAGATAACATGTATTGGATAACCGAAAAAGCTAATCTAATTTGAATGTTTACAGACATAGCAATTGATCAAGAAATATGTTGTATAAAACTTGAAAGGACATATTATTACAATGCTATATAAAAGGTTATTAAATTGTTTGCATTGTTTAAGAGACATGTAGGCTTATTTTTTCGGTGAGATTTTGGGATATTGCGTATAAAAAGCAGTTTAGTTATTGCGCATAGAGAGAAATTGTTATGGTTTATAAGATACGTGATTGTGTGTTCAGGTGAGAGTTATAAAATTCCATAAACATGCACGGAAAAATGCATAACGTATTATTACTAAAAAAATGCCATTAAATCTTGAAGAAAAGAAGGAAAATATACAATTAGTAATAAGAAGATTATAATAAATTCGAAAAAATTCTGATATATTCATTGATGAATATAAATTATGTAGATTGTCGGAAATTATTTTTGCATTTTGTTTACCTCACTAGAAAATTTCAATCTTTCTGCCATCTTTTTGCTCGTTTTTATCTTCACCCATTCACTTCTGTTGTTATTATTTTGGATGAAAGTAATGCAAATGCACGTTATATGGTGCAAAATCCAACAAAGTTGGTTTATCAGGTCCATAATCATATTGGACTAAAATTTTCGATCATAATAATTACCTTAATTCGTTTATTATTGCCTGCAAATAGACAAGTTCTAGTCAAGGTTCAAATAAAAGAAAATGAGTAATATAGTTCGTTTATGCTCTTTTCTCTGAAATGAATCATTCAATATTTTTTTTTCTTGTCACGCGTTTTCTTTCTCCTCCATGCACTTTCTTTAAAACAGACATGTAGTTGCACCATTTATGCAAATTCAGTTCTCATACTGTTACAGTTAAATAATTTTCTTAAACGATTTCATATTTATTTCAAAATACTACATCTTTATATGGAACAAATAAAACGTCAACGAAACAATTCTTTTGATAATTAGGATGATAGCAAGAGAAAAAAAAATAGGAAGTAAAAGTAACAATTGGTGAGTCACCAGAATATATTCTTTAATCTAAATTTTCTTTTTTTAAAGTTTATCAAGAGAAACTATCACAAATTTCGAAGATGTTTCTAATGAACTTATTTATGAGATATTTGAATTTCTCGATTATTTTCATATATATAAAGCGTTTTTCAATCTTAATGTACGATTTCGTAATCTTCTTACAAATTCAAGTCTTCCTATTAAAATTAATATTTCATCTATATCTAAATCAGCTTATCAACAATATTATACAGACATTATCAGGACCAATGCTTATCGAATTAATTCACTTCGATTATCAAACTTATTTATTTATGGTCTTGCGTCCTCACCAATTCAAATTCTATCGAAATTTCTCCAACTTGAAAGACTTATTCTTCATAATATTCAATCAGAATATTTGGAAGAAAGTCTTCTTCGATTGATGTCTTTGCCTTTTCTCTCTTCATTGACTGTAACTTCACTTGATAACATTAAAAATAAGAATGTTATCTATCATCAAATACTTCGTCTACCTGCATTGAAATATTGCAAATTCTCCTTGGAAGGATATTCTAACGATGATATTCCACTACCATCAACTACCAATGATTATAATCCAATCGAACATCTGATCATCAATGATGAGATGTATTTGGACCAACTTAATTGTTTGGCATCATATGCTCCTCAACTTCGTCGTTTTTCAACGCAGTTACGACCAGAATATTGGATTCAGCAAACAAAAATATCTCCGCTTACATTAAATCATTTGACACATGTTTTTCTCAAAATGAATAACGTAAGTTTTAATCAATTTGAACAAATGGTCGTTGATCTTTTCGCTACAATTCAATTTTTACGCATTTCAGTAACAAATAGTGCAGATATGGAATATATGAATAATAAAAGGTGGGAACAACTGATATTGTCCCATATGCCGAATTTACGTATATTTGACATTCGATATGAAGGTTACCTAAGCAACATTGCTGCTAATAATAATTATAAGTTGGTATTAGATAGCCTCATCAATCAGTTTACGTCTCCATTTTGGATTGAACGACAATGGTTTTTTGCACTTCGATATTACCAAGAAAGATCTTCAAATTGGATAATATTCTATTCAACAGATCCATATACGTATCAATAGATTAGATTTTTGGTTACATTATGTATATATTATTTTTATTTTTTAGAAGAAAACATTACACATTATCACAAAAATCGAATGAAAAAACTTGTTTAAAACCTTCCGAAAATAATCTTAGATCAGTACACGATATTCACATTCAATATGAAAAAGAAATGATCAATTGTATGAATTATTTTCCAAATGCTATTAAACTTACTTTCGAAAGTAGTTTTTCTACTACTCATGTTTCAATATCAAACATGCTCAATCGTATTATTCCTTTGGAACAACTATCTATACTAGTTTTTGAGTGTCACTATTTCTCTTTTATCAAACTAATCGAATTATTACCCTTTACTCCCAGTATCCATACATTGATATTTCAATCTATGCCTTTTTACAGAAGCAATTATATGTCAATTGAACAAAGTGAAGCTTTTCGATTAGTCTCCAATAAAAATAGAATTACAAATGTGACTTTTAAAGAATTTTGTACATTAGAGAAGCTTCGATTGCTTGTTGCCTTGTGCCCTCAACTACAAAATCTTACAATAAAAACGTTCGTGAAGGATTTTGAATCAATAACACGATTTCTATTGGAAAATACTAAGGAGAATATTACTGGTCATTTGTGCTCGTTGTGTTTTACAGGAGCATCAAACAAATGGTTAGAAAAAATGGAGATATTGATCAAATCAGAGACATTTCTTCATGATTATATGTAAAAACTTGACAGTTCGAAATTATATTTATGGCGGTAATGTTTATATATATCAACGAAATATCTTATTCTTGAATATTAGATTTTAAATAAATAAGAAATTTAACCGTTGTCACACAATTTTAGAACGTATATATCATCGGTAAAAATTAAATATTGAGAAATAAGAAGAGTTTTAAAATATTTTTCATCAGAGAAAACAATATGCCATAAACTACTTTAATCTTATTGTAAGTAGAAAGCACGATCGATAGAGAATACTGAAATATAACTTGGCAAATTTTAACTCAGCTTTCTTGCACCGATATGCAGTGGCTCACAAACAGAAAAACATGTTGTTAAATTGTGACGTTTATTATCTAAAAGATATATGACTTTTTCAAATTTTTTAGATTAACGACACGAAACTAGCAGATTTTCCCCAATAATCTCAATAGCTTACAGATATAATTGATGGTCAACAAAAATAATTATTTCAGTTGACAGACTTCAATGAAACTGTTTGCAATTTATATCATTTGATTTCTCATATTCAATTGCATCTAATTCCAGAAGTTCAGCTCAACCAATGCTGTTTTCGACTTCTTTGCTTTAAATTCTGTACTATGTGTTAGTTTTTTCTCTGCAGCGCGAATAAATGGAATTAAATTTTAGCAAGAAATTGGTCTTAATGTGAACACACTAGTCATTTTGATTAAAGGTCAAATTCTAATGAATATTTCATGCAATTTTGCTTCTCTAAGTCAAAATCTACTATCTTAACTCTTAAAAAATATCTTCAGAATGATTAAAGCTATTATTCAATAGTTGTTCAAGTTAAAACGGATGGTAATTATATTTCATGCATTGTTCTATCTGAGATCGTTGGGCATTGAAGTCAAAAGCAGCATTCATGTAAATACCCGTTAGAGATTCATTGTCCAGACGGAGCGAAACATCTTTATTGCAAGATATCGACTCAAGTGCTATAGTAAAAACATAGGCTGATTACTTTACAGAGAATGATTTACGGAGTTCTAGATTTGGTGCAGTTCAGCTGGCTAAAATTTACTTTTCATTTTCTTCAAAAGAAATGAGATTTATTAAAAATCTGATAAACAGTATGTTTATTGAATAGAATATTTATTTTTCTTGAAAAAAAATCTTTGTTATAAGTTATTTTACAAAAAAAAATGTCTTTGATAGACCAAGTTTCAAAATCAGTTATATATACAAAACTGGAACAGACAATGTTCAAGCTCGCTGCTCAATTACGTATATTTATTTTCTTCTCTTGACTGATTGATATTGTAGGAATTTTGATATTATTAGGCTTGCTTACTTTTGGTTTCAGTGGTTTTTCCTAGTCTTTCGTTTTATTTCTTAAAGAAATTTAAAACATAAACTATATTATTTTTGTAAATAAAGCATAGATACACTACAGAAAAGAGATATTGTGAAACAATTTTAAAAGTGATGTAGACTTTATTGATCATCTTAGACGAAAACAACGTTTCCTTTGATTCCGATTGATTTTGAATTACTGGAGCCAACTGTTTCATGCTTTGATTATTCTTGTAGTATATCAGAAACCATTCTTTACCTTTATTTGAGTTGAATATAGTGCTAGTTACTAATAAAAACTAATAGAAAAATTGCTTATGAAGCGAAAAGTAGTAAACCATAGCACGTGAAATATAAACTCCTGACTTCAGTATAAGATCCTGGATCTTCTATTGTATCTCATTTATTCTCATAGATTTTAATTGAAAGACTTTTTCAAAAGAAACCGGTTTTATGGAATTCGGGAGATATTTTGAACGTTAAAAGACTTAGAAATAATGTTGACTTTAATCTTCTACGATTTTTCAGCTTAAAATTATGAAAACTTGATATATTTTGATGTAAAAAATACTAATTAATGTTCCACTTTTGTGAAAAATTAATTCACTGACGAGATTCTTCTATTATGTCTGACACATTGTTTCTTTAAAGGAGATTTTCTTTTGCGAAGGGTTTCATTGATTCTTATGATCAGAATTATTGCGACTGCCATATTGCCAGAATATTTTCAATAACTTTTTTAACGATAACATGTCTCATAAAAGAAACAGAAAATTTCGTAATTCTCTCCCATTCTTGCGCAATACCTTTCATATATATTCTACAGTATTCTTTTATGTTGATCTATTATACCTCTAGAGTAGAGTACATTTTACAGCTAGTCTTTCAATTGTATTATAAAATTTCTACATATTTGGTAAGTTTGTTTTTTGTTGTGAATTCCTAACAATTCAATACATATGAAAAATTCTTTTTAACATCGATTTTTTAATAGTATCAAAAGCGAGTGGTAGTTCTGAAGAGTCAGCCTTCACTATCAGCTAGATATATTACCTTCAGCCTAGTTTCTTGCGTTTGATGATAATATGTATAATGTGACTGACACAAAAATCCGAATAATTCCAGAAAAAGTAAATCCTGAAAGCTGCTGGTAACATTTGCAAATCTTTCTCTTTAGTCTACTATAGAATCAAGAATGCAGAATGTTGTTTGATATTATATTAGTTCAATATTGAACTCTTTTTGATAATGATATCTTACAACTGTTTAACTCGGATATTTTCAGTGTTTTATTTTGTAATGAATAATAATTAATGTATATTTGTATATTATAGTAGTCAAAATATGGCGTCAGATAGTGATTATGATATTTTTGATTATAACTCAAGTCAAGATTCTTTCGAGATTGATTATCAAATTGATCTATTTGAACTTCATCAATGTTTAAAATCAAGAAAAAGCAAACAAAAATTAAAAAAAGCTTCATGTTCAATCTCATTAAAAGCTCTTAAATCCCAACCAACACTAGTTAAAGCTAATTGTATGAATGACAAAATAACACGTAAAGCTGAACGAAAATTATTTCGGCATGATCGTTATACACAAAATTCAAAGATTTTCAAATGTGATGAAGAATTCCAAGAAAAATCAGAACACTCATCGAAAGAACCAACCTGTGTTCAATCAAATGTACCATCGAATTGCTCGAAAATACTTGAAGCTGGACATTTACAAAGTTTTTCAAGCTTTCGTCGTCATTTCTATCATGTTAATCATCAAAGAATAAAATCTTCTCTTCAAGATCAACCTAATATTGATGTTACTGATATTCGTCTTGCTCCATTAAACAAAACTGTTCAAAATGATTTTATGAAAAGATTAAATGAAAATACTTCGTACTTTCCACATTTAGTTTATCATGGTACAAGATTAAAAAATATCGAAAGTATACTTCGTTATGGATTTTTGATACCAAATAGATCACATCCATTCAATAGCGAAGCACCTATTATTGTGTCACAAAATGGTCGAGCGTTTGGTACTGGAATTTATTCAAGTCATTCAGCTGTTTATTCATTATCATATGTTAATGCTACGAATACTCTTCTAGTATGTGCAGCAATGCCAAAACGTGACAAAGTTGGAAAAATTGAACGTTCTCATGGAAATATATTAGTTTTATCTCATGTATCACAAATCATACCATTATTTTTAATTGATTTTAAATATCTCGATAGATCACATACGAATTATCCTTGCTTTAATGAAGATAAACAATCCAAAATAGATAAGAACAATGAAATACAAAAAAAACCTGTTATTATTTCAAGAAAGTATTTACGAAAAGTATTAAATTATATGAATGATGAAGTACGCAAGAACAATCGATATCAAGTACGATCATTTGAATTGTTTAACTAATGTAATTTTTATTATTTCAAATAAAAAAAAATAAGAAAAACGATCTAGAAAGATAAGATTAAAAATAAAAGTCGCAATCAAGTAATAAGTCTATAATACGTATTTCAAGGGTGTGGATGTGACTGATTATTGTACTAGCATCTAACCCACATCCATCCTATCCGATCATTTTTACATAATCTATGATAATACTTTTACAATAAAATTCTTTTTTTTCTCTCTCAATACATGGAAAAAAGAGCTCTAAGAAATATGTTTTTAGTATTTCTAATATTTTAAAATAAATATACGATCGCTCAAATTAATTCATACTTATTGATTTATGATCGTCGACTTTTTAACCACAATAAAGTACTACTATAAGGAGAACACCTTTTCGCTGAAAATATCAAATTTACACATTATTCTGCTTTTTTTTGAAATTTTACTTTTACTAAAAAGTGTTTTGGATGTCTACTTTTTTGTTTGAAAATATAATGAATCGCTGATTTTTGCCAGGTTTTACAAAAAAACTACAGTTAAAAAAAAACATGCTTTTGCCAGTATGTTCGCAGAATTTCGATGTTTTTATTCGAATCGAAGGACATAAAAGCCAACTAAAAACCGTACATAGTTCAAAAAGTGTCTAGTGTCTGTAAAAAATATGTGTGCAGCACCATTCAACGTATTGTGGCTGAAACAAGAGATTAATAAGAGCATCCATTTTTTGTTCTTGCAACCCCAATGTCTATTACAGTGAAACATTCGAGAATTTTGAATCTATAAAAAATTTTTCTGTATTCATCGAGACTTATGTGTACTGAAATTTTCAATATTTTCCAATGAGCCTCTCTCTAAAAATGCCAGAAAGAAAGAGATCTCTTAACGAAAATATTCTTGTTTATCTTTTTTAAATAAACAAAACAAATAGTTTCAATGTGATGCATTCATAAAAATTGCATGCTAGATATATAATACGCGACTTATTCAAATAAATCACGTACGATCTTTTTTTGTCATACGACATGTTTCAAAACGCTAATGAAGAAAATAATGACAATGTAAGAGTTGAGATGTTGGTCTTCTACTAACTCACACCATGTCATTCTACCATTATTACTCATTGTTATAGAACATTACCCATCGTCCTTTACTACTAGTTATATACGCAAATGAACAAAATAATGAGGAGAAGAACAACAATAAAATAAAGACATAACTTTTGTTTAATATGGTTTCTCTTTTATATTCTTCCTTCAACATTGAAAAATGTCATCTTCGAAGTCACGCTCCAGGAACAGATGCATTGCTAGTAGTCAGTATTATGTTTGCGAGTGTATACGAATAGTTTAAGTGTTTACCTGGAAGAACTCGAAGTCCAAATGACTTTCTGTGAAGAATTAAACTTAACATGAGCTGTAGGAAACTATTTCCAGACATCATCATATAGTGTAAAATAATCGAAAATCAAAATATTCTTCTTGAGTATTTCCTTCAGATACTATGTATATGTTATTCACAGATGAAATTTATTAACAAAAGACTAACAACAATAAAGTAATTCGTTATTAGATGAACATCAATCAACAATGAAATTTGGAAAATTGTCAATTTTGATAAAAAAAAAAGAATAAACAAAGTTTTATTTATTTTAAGCAATAGAATCAGGTGGAATATTCCTCATCTAAATCATCGAGACGACGTAATTTGAGTTGAATAATGACTTGACAATGATTCATTTCGTCAGTTAAACTCTGATTCTGACAACATCGTTTTCGTTGATATTGCTGAATATGTAATATATGAAGAAATTGTATTTTAAATCGATGCGCAAATCGACGAATTTCATCTCGAAATGCTTTACCCGACAAACAATAGATGTAAAAATTTAAAGAACAATTAATTAAAATTGATAATAAAACCCACCATGTTTCATGCGCTTGGACAACGATAAAATGTGCAGTAATATGTGATAAAAGTGATGCAAGAAAAAGAAATGAATGAAGAAGCAGAACTTTAGTCAACCATGATGTCGTTCGTGATTGTCTTTTATGTCGTTGATGACCATTTATTTTATGTAAATGTTGCCATGTTCGAACAACATGATAAATAATATAACTATTAAACAGAATAATAGCTCCAGTTGGAATTAGTTCTGAGAAAAGACAACGTATTGTAAAATGATTGATACCAAAACGAAGTTCGTAAAAATAATTTTTCCATTTAACAGATGCTTTTGAACTCAAATCACAGTATGTCTTGTTTACGTCTATTTTTGCATCCATTATTCTCTCGTTACTAAAATAGTACGTCAATTAAAGTGTATATTTTTTTTTTAGTAGCGGGTAATCAAAAAGACTTTAGATAACATGTTAGTTCACTTTGACCTATTTGAAAGTATTTCAGACGAGCAGTATTTGAATATGAACTTAAAAATGCTGAGTCTACCATTATTCTAGAATAGTGAGGAACTTTTTGAAAAACTATTTTGAAAGTGGGCCAGAAGATTTTTGTTTATCCTATAAGTGCCTTTCAAACATGCTAAAAATTGTCAGAATCGGTCATTTCGTAGATCGAATACTTGTCTACAAAATGTGATAATGAACCAAGCCGTAGCTTTTACCTAAGCATTTTTTTAAAAGCTCTTTTCAACGTATAACGATTGTAAATTTTTCAAAAAAAATGAGTATTTAGGTAAAATGAAAATTGAAGTGTCCTGTCGAAGGATAAAACAATTTCAGATAGTGCACTTTGTAGGATAGTTTCTCATCAACAAGCTGATATATAAATAAAGATCTTAACTTTTAGTTTCGAATCACAATAGTAAAAATATAAAAATGTGCGGAAAAATTTTCCGTCCAAACCAGTTTATTAAGCTGCTTCAAAGATTATTTCACTACTCTCAAATACAAACTGAGACTAAATTTTTAAGCTCATATTCGAAAAAAAAACACAACTTTTTTCCCAACTCATAGCTTTTAACTCATCAAAAATACTTTCTAGAGAGCGAAAAGTAAACAAACAATTTCGTCTAAAAACTTTTCGATCACCCGTTATTTTCAATATTTCATGTCACCAAATGAAAAACTTCATTCTTAATGACGATTATTTCGTTATTCTTTGGTTTAAAACGAAGAACACTTGATTTTAATTTTTAGAAAACTTTATGTCACAGAAGACATTTAATGCTTACGTACTCAAGTATTTGTGGTTGAAACATATAAAGAGGAGGTCCAATAACACAAACAAGAATGATTATAACAATGCTCATTGATATAATAAACTTTAATTTTAATGAATTCCATCGATGGAAAAATGTTTGTAATCTTATTGAAACACATAATAAACGTTCAAACATCCAGAATAATGTTATCCATGATGAAATAATTCGAAAAGAAAATGAAAATTCATAAATTTTACAAGCCCACCATTTTTCTCCGACTAAATCATATAGAATATTTCGTAATTTTGAATGTAGAACAAAAGCATATCGTATGACACAAAGAAGATTTGTTATTGAACTAGAAGTTGCCAAACAAACATAGACCGATGATATTCGCCAAGTTCGACGACATGAAGAAAATATGAAAAGTCCCAAAATATTTCCAGTAAGTCCTAGAATGACTAATACACAACACAAACCATCAATCATTCTTGCCTGAAAAGTAGAAGCATTGACTTTGTAAAAAAGCAAAGATACTTGTTCAGCGTGTAACATTACAATTCAGCTAATCTGAAATTATACAAAACAAAAAATATTGAAATATGAATATTATTTTTGTATGCAAATTCTTGCATTGACGATGTTTAATATTAGATATCTAGTTCAATAGATAGATGTGTATAACTTACTATCTACTTATTTTTCTTACGACAAAGTTTCTAAATCTTATTTGACAATTATTTAAAAAAAACACTCAAGAATAAAATTTATCTCTATAGGATATAATTGATGAAAAGTAGATGTTTAACAAAATAACACTCTAGACCTGTTTTATTATAGGCTCACATAATTTTCTTCTTCCTTTATGTGTGCATTTCCTGTAAAAAAAAAAAGACTTTCATCTTTTTCCTCATTCGTCCATTGTAATATCAATGATGTCTATCATTCTTTTCTATCGTAGGTATTGCTGGTTGAATTTTTTCCAGGTCTAAAGTATGATAGGACCTAATAATCTAAGAATAATACGGTTTTCGATATATTCGCATTCTCTAGTACGAATAAGAATAATATAATAATCATAGTAAAGACAAGATATTTAAGATTTTTTCAACTAGAATATTGAATCTTTCTTCATACGTTTCTATGTGCAAAGTTGGCCACTGAAATGCAAAATTTCTTTTGCTATCAATATAAAGGAAAAATCGAATTCTCTGTTTCGCCCACACATTCAAAGAAAGCAAAAAAGAAATCGATTCACTTAACATACAGAAAAGATCATTTACAAAACAAATCTTTACTAATTAACAGTTAATAGAAACAGTTTTCATTGCAGAAAGTAATAAAGATTGTGTAGTTGCTTTGATACCTTCTATCATTAAATAAATCACAGCAGCTGTAAGCCAATATCATTTCTAAATTTCTCTAAACTTGAAACATTTATCTCAACACATGTTGACACATACCAATAGATACTAGGCGTCTCTATGTTTTAATCCTTCCTTAATGTTATTCTTTGAGTCATTCCTGCAGTTAATAATCTTTTCTATTTAAGATATCTTCGAGCATTGAATCCTTAATTATAATCAACAAGCTCTATTGCCTATATGAAAGTTAAATCAGCAATGTATTTTTACACTATGTATCATTTTTTACTATAACCCTTACACATATGAAAACTTTTTCTTTTAAAAAACCAATCAACAGGAGCAACCGAAATAGGCTAACTTATTTCACTGTAGATTACTTTGTTCTTACAGCGTACAATAAACTTCAAAGAACGATTTTCGTTTTCATTGTATAAATAGTATTTTTACTTGACATCGTTTCGTCTATAAATAGCTTCATTGGATCGAACAACATTGATCGTTTATACAAATTTAAAAAAGCTTTTTTTTTTCAGGAAACAATTACTATTAGTATTTCATTTAAATAATAGGGCAATGTCATAGCACTGGATGACACCGATCTACTTACGACTCCAAAATATGACAAACCAGGTTTTCTTCATTAGTGAGCTGACTATTTGTATAATAAAGTAATATTCGTCTGAATAAAAACCAATCCAGATTAATCGTCTACATTATATTCTTATTATTAAGATTAGCACGTTTCTTTCCATTTGGCACGTTTTTTTTAATGTTGCTATTTGAAGTCAGTATGCAGGTGATTATTCTAATTGAATCTTCCTAGAAAAAAAAACAAAGGTTTTGCACGAATTATCCCATTTTTCTGAAATAATGATAATTAATGTTGACGGATCTCTGTGATATGCCTAGGATGTGGCTATGACAGATTAATATTTATTATTATTCATCCTATGACTTGTTTCTGCTATTCTTCAAACAAATGTTCATCGTAATAATAACCATTAAAAGATCAAACGGTTAGATAATAAAAAGCATCTGTTTAGAAACATATAAGCATTCTATAATTTTTATTCTTCGTTCAACAAAAAAGTCATTGTAATTATGGACAAGAGTGTTACGCTCTTTCTAATGTAAGAAAGTCTAATTGTTAAGACTTTCTAATGAGCTAAAAATGTATATCGGTTTAAGATTCAAGGCAACAGAATATACACTTGTCAATCCGATTTAATTCCTATATATTGAAATGCAATATGTCTCTGAAAATATTACTCAGATGAAAATAATGAAAAAAAAGCATACTGCCAAATACTATAAACAGCAACAGATTAGCATGTGTAGAGATAAGACAAAAAAAGTATACTCAATAATCTTATTTTAATGTGACTAATATGACAGTATTATTCTTCAGATTCTGAAGAAATAATTATTGAGTATATTCATATCGAACAATGTATATTCGGTAAATATAGTAATGAATACCTCACTTTTTCATATTAATAAGGCTTTTTCTGTTGAAACCATATGTTTTTCTTTGTATGAATTCGAGCAAATTCATCCATCGTATAGAACTCATCAAATTTTAACTCATTATTCACATAATCATATACACAGATGAAACTATTTTCTTCTTACGTTTTCAAAATAAGTGATGTATGTCAGCTTGGTTAATATCAATGATTTCACACGAAATGTCCATAGAGGCCTTTTCTGATCAGAAAATTTTTTTATTATTCGGTCTGGATTTTATTTTATTCCTTTATCTGAAATATGAAGCAGCTACTTTCAATACTGTTGCAGTCAATTTGTTTGTACACTAAACAATAAAAAGCAAAAATCAAATCCGTGATAACTATTTATTTAACAAAGGCTTGCAAATCATCTTACCCCAATATCATACAATTATTTTTCTTATCATTATATGTGTGAATATTGTGTTAACAACAACAAATAATTATGTATTATGACAGCATAAGTCAGCAACATCACTAGAATTCTCTTATAATATTTATGTCGTAAGATTTTTCAGTTGATGTCTTTGTACACGATTTTGATTTGTAATAAACAATTGAGACCAATATGAAAAAGTTATAATTATCTTTATAAGAGAAGATGATTCTAATTTATAAAAAATTCAATATTACACAAGACTCATATTGATGTGATTTTTATCCAAGTAAAGAAGATTTTTCTAGTAAAGAAGATTTTGACAGACAAGCAAAAAATAGGAAACAATTGTTCACTATTAAATAACACTTTTTTCTAATGATCCTGTATGCTTCAGAAAATATTAAAATATGTGATATATAATAACAACATATTTCATGTATCACGAAATAAAGAACAAGAAAAACTTAACATAAGCATACAGAGAAGAATAGCTTTGATGAAGTCAAATAATTCATAAAATTTACTCAATTTTTTCACTATGCTTCGATCAAGATGTATATATTTTGCTGATGAACTCGAAGCATATATCGAAACGGCAAGTACAAGTACATATGATCACTGATCGTAACAAATTCTAGATAAAGTAAAAGCTGGTTGTTTACAATCATTAAGTAAATAATAGAAAATACATGTAACGATACACGAAACGTATTTAATGGAACGATCTCATGAGGTCATAAAAGGTTTTTGAGTCTTCAATTGTTGTCCAGAAACAGTATATGATCATGTTAGAAGAAGCTTTAGAAAATAGAAGCGGAAGCTAGGCTTTGATTGATATGTCGACCTTTTAGAATCATTTTTTTGTCGCATGTTTCTTTCACGGTAAAGTTAAAATCTCAAATTTTCTCCTAAACTTTGCTCATATCAAGGCCTTAGTCGGACTAATTTACCTATAATATTTCAAAATTTTTGGATGAGTTATTTCCGATGTCAGTTGTGATGGTTGTTTGTTTAGGCGTCCGTTCGAATTCCATTACAATTTTTGATGGGATTATAACTTTTTTCACAGATTCAAGATAATAAAATTCCTGTAATTGATCCAATACTAGACTTTCACTGGCGTAAAGACCTTTTCTTCTAATACATAATGCCAAAAAATAATAAATATTGAATTTGTGTGAGTAGCATATACTGTCAGATATACACTTCAGTTATTTCAAAAAAACATGATCGAGTCAAGCGTCACTTACGCGAAGATTCATCGAGTACAGGCAAAAAAATGCAGGATCACAATGCAAGAAAAGACATTCATACATGATCGAGTTTGTTTTATTCAAAACAACTGAGAGAAAGAACGAATAAATTTATCGATGTCTACTATCGTTGTCGACGCATAAGATGGCGAAAGTTCAGATGAAAAAAAGACACTGATATTTATTACGACTTCTACCGTCAATGTTGACGGCGAGTGAAATGAAAGAAAAGGGAAGTATTAGACTCGCTCGCTTGTCACCTAAAGGAATGTTGACAAGCAAGAACAAGAAAGACAATAGAATAAATTATTCTTTATTCATGCATCAAACACGAATCAACTAATATACTAACAGATTCTGGGACAGGTATGGTCTATTCGTTCTCTATATGTTTGCTCAAAGATTGAACATTGTGCTTAATAATATCGGATCGAAACATGACAATATCTATAGAACAGGCGATTGAAAAATACCCAGATATCTGAAACTCGTTTTATTGCTTAGTATACAATTGATTCTTGGATTTCTTTTTCTGATTCTACAGATTTATTCAAAGTTTTTGACACATATGTCTACGTGACTCTTATGAAAAGTGTTCAAAACAAACTGAGCTTCAAAAAAGTTTTTCTCTTCATACGATCTATTTAATGAATGTGTTTCTTCCAAAATCGATTTGATTCGATTCGTACGATAGATGCTATTATTGACTAATAAAAATAATCGAAAGAAAGATATGTTAGAGTCTAGTTTCTGCATCGTATTTTGAACAATATTTTGAATATTTCATCTTTTTCATTTTCCTTTTTTCTTTCTGTTACTCAGTTGAAATATGATAACACTATCTAGCAGACACCCATTCTAACAGCAGATTGTCGTGAAAAATCTGCTTGAAATTCACACGTCGGGTATGATACTAAACAAGCAACGTTTATGTTTTGAGACACGATGAAAATTAGTCTGCGATACAAATAGATTAAATCTAAGTTTTTTGCACATATATTGACTAAAAGATGAAGCCGAGACATAATAAAGCGACATATCCTACATTGATTAAATTTGTTATTATTATTATTTTATTAAAAAAAACATAAATCGATAACATGTAAGAACGATGAACTTATTTTGACTATTGATCCTGTTTTGCTCACTGATTGTACTTGTTTATGATTGAGCTTCTAGCGAGCATGAACGTGATTCAGGTGCCAATAAATAATTAATATAATAAGGCTACAAATTATTTGCTCAGTAAAAATATTGAAATGCTAAGTAGATTAGTGCTAAGTAAACTGTGTGATTGCTCAGTAAAAAAATTGAATGCTCAGTAAATAATTTGTTTCTCAGTAGAAAAAATATTTGCTAAGTTAAAAAATATTCACTAAGTTAAAAAATAAATCCTAAGTAAATAATTTTTTGTTAAGTTAATAAATTGAAATTACAGTAAAATAAATGTGGAAACCTCGGATTTAAATCCGAGAGTTATGTGTACTTCAAAGAGTGAATTAGACAGATGAGTCATCCTAGAATGTGTGGATATCAAAATTATCATTGCAAACCTTTTCCATAAACACATGAATTCTATTGGCTACTGCTCAACCAATAGGATTTAGGGGCGAATGCAGCTCAGATTTGAACTCTTCGCATTGAATTACCCTAAGAAAGTCGTTTTTCCCATAACTTGATTTCTATTGGTCCCTGCTCAACCAATGGTATTTCGAGGCAAGTGGAGTACAGATTCGAGTTCTCCATCTCAGAAAACCTCGAACTATCATCTCTGTGATCGAAAGATAGAGCTCTAACTGTGGATTAATTAGAGCGTGGACAAAGACAGAACCGAATTCCGTTTAATTATCTTTGCAATGGCTGAGTTGCTTTCTTGTTTCCTTATGTTTTATATGCCATTTTGTGGCTTGTGAAATTCTCTATCGAATGGTATAAAATAGTTGGGGTTTTATTTGACTATGATAGGAAAAGGTTTGCAATGATAATTTTGATATCCACACATTCTAGGATGACTCATCTGTCTAATTCACTCTTNCATACGTAGCCAGGAGCAACTGATAATTAGCAGAATTCTTCGCAGCTTCTCTTTCAATAATAATTCTATACAGTATGCTTTTATTAAAATGAAAATTAATAATAAAACCTATTCTTAGGTTTTAAAATCGAACGAGAAATATATTCAACATATGCATCGATGATTTCACTGGCAATATTTTGATTAATTGTAAAAAAATCGAATACGAATGTTACGTTCAATGAGAACAAGTCTTTAAAATAAACCCAATATGCAGAAAACCATTGGTAGTCCAATATGATTAAAGAATATGTTTCAAGTCACACATTGATGAGATTCATTCGTTCCAATTGAAAAATTTTCCAACAATTAAACATTCTGTTTGGAAATGCAGGAAAAAGTAATTTTTGTAACCGAAAATGTTGAATTTATTTCTCGTTCGATTTTAAAACCTAAGAATAGGTTTTATTATTAATTTTCATTTTAATAAAAGCATACTGTATAGAATTATTATTGAAAGAGAAGCTGCGAAGAATTCTGCTAATTATCAGTTGCTCCTGGCTACGTATGGTACATACGCCAAAAGATAATTATCAAAAATCCTTAAACTATATAGGACTAGAGAGAATCTTACTTAAATAACTTTCTACAGAAACGCGAGCATTCATAATATGGTGATAAATATAAATTATAGAAGTATATAAATTTATTTATTGGGAATATATTTTTCAATGACAATAATGACCGTGAAGTTTGTAGAAGAACGGGTAAGATAATTTCTTGATAAATCAAAGAAAATAAAGCATCTACTATGACCATTGAAAAACATAAAAACTTCGATAAAGTAAACCTAAAAAAGAAAGAAAAATAATGAGAAATAGAGGAACAGTAAATAACAGACTATATGAAAGAGGAATTGAAAGAACAATAAATAAAAGCTGGCAGCAACATTATAAGACTTGTTGACGCTAGCAGAAGCCAAATACATTGTAATCATTTCATTATATAATTAATGCATAAAAAGATGCTTCACAAAATAGGATATAAGCTCTGTAGTTGAATATCATCAATTCGATAAAAAATTTTCATCGGACTAGCTGAGAAATAGTACATGAAAGAATTTTTGAGGTTCACCGGTTGCTAATATAAATAATTGAATATCGTTGACAAAAACCTCTTATTTTCTTATCGAGTGGATAAGTTATAGGCAATATTCAAAGTAACTTCGTTGTAAAGATGTGCAGGGTTACCCTACCCTACAAGACAGCATAAGGATAAGCATGTTTTAGGGTAGAGTAGAGTACATAAGCAGACAAAAATTTCCAAAAATACATTTAAACGCACTAATCGCGGTTCTTGTCTGAACGTTTTGACACAAACTAGACAGGAAACAAGCCATTCCTGTTTTCAGAACACGATAAAATATTATGAAAAACAACTTTCTAGACGTTTTTTTAATACAGAAGTTACCTTTTGAAGTATTTTCTGAACGAGAGTGAAAACGCTTAGACGACTACTATGATTAGTGGATTTTTGAAAATTCTTGTCTGCTTGGGTAAGAGGTAATCATGTTGCAGGGTAAGGTAAGGATGAGAAAACCTTTCTGAGTCAGGATACAGAGTATAAAAAAAGCTGACCCTATACATCTCAACAACAGTGTTCAAATAAATCTGCATAAGTACGAATCCACTATAGTCTGTGATATGTTCTGAACATTTGTTGTATTAGTAATTGATTGGTTTCGATAGAAATTGTCAGTTTCGTTTTGAATTAATTCATGTTATCGATGAATCGATATTCCGGGATTAAGGTTTGATGCCAATGGCAACACATCATTAGGCACTTCGCTGAAATCGACCATAATTTTGATATATATTGAGTTCTCTCGAATATAAGGATTATTTTCTTGTTCAATGATTGCCAAAGGACAAAACTTTGGAATACCACTTGCAATATTCATTTCCAAACTTGGTCGTTGAAAACTACTGGATCTTACATCTGGTCGAAATGTATCAATGATATGTTGTTTTTTATCAGTTTGATCATACAAGTTAAATATTATTCGAAACGGAAATGGCCATGAAAGTATGCCATCATGTTTTCCTTTCATAAGAACCAAAAAGAGTGATATATGTGCTCCTAGACCATCATCAACACCATTTAGATGTAGACGAGCACACATTTTGTAACCTGTAGGCGATGAGTAAAACGAAGGTGAATAAATTGATGTCTGACGCTCAGATTGAGTATCCACTAGAACACAAAAAGTTGAATCGATTAAATACTGATAGTAGAGCTCATAAAAAGTACAACAAATAATCTTGCTCATTTGTTATTTTCCATATGAATATTCCATCGTATGACGCAACCTGTGTATGTTCCAATTTTTGTCGAATTGATTTGATATCGTGTGGAAGTATTTCTTGTTGAATTTTCATTTAATTTATCGAACTATTTGACTTTGTACAGGTTAATTTAAGTAATGAGATAGCTCGTGTCAAATTTTCTATTAACTCTTGCCTTTCACATGATTCATTACTATGGCGTTCTACATCGTTATTTAAAGTTTGAATTCCATCAACAAGAATATCGATAGTCTTATATACTTTTTGTAATTTACTGAGAATTATTTCAGATTCATCTTCAAAATGTCCATTTATCCGAATGTTTAATAAATTGCGTATGCAGTTGATTATTGCAAGTTGATGTTCTTGTGTTAAATAATGTGCTTCCATTTCAAAACGATTTATCTGAAGAACAAGGAAAAAACTTAGAAAATATTACAAAATTATTTTTCTTAACATACTCTATTTGAACGACCATAATCTTTTAGATGACAACATATAATTACCACAGAATGCTTTGCTATTTTATGCACATTAAGATGATCTGCGGATGCAAACATTTTATCACAATATTCACAAGTCGGCTTTGGATGGAACTGATCAAGATGATCCTTTAGAGAAAAGAAAATTGAGATAGTCTTTCTTAACTTAATACAAATCTTGTGTTGTATTGGGCATTTGTGAAATATAAATGTTTCCATCCACTCGACTAATAATAATTGTTACTGTAATAAATCTCAATGATTCTTCAAGCAATATTATTAGGTGGATGATTTTACTAACGGTGGGTTCCTTTCTTTTTTTTTCTCTCATATAAACGACAACATAACTAATATTTTATTTCTTTTTTCTTAATATTTGCTGATTCATTTGATCTTACTTGATAGAATTTCAGCTCACCAATCCAATGACAATGTGAACAAATAATATTCAACAAATTTATTTCTCGTTGAAATCCTTTATCGAGTCTTGCCTACGAAAAATTTCAAAGTAAACATCACATATAAAAGTTGAAAGATTTTACTTCTTGTTTAAGTGTTTCTTCATGACATTCTGAACATATTACACTATTTCTATGAAATAAATCGGCAAATAAATATCAATTAATATGAATATCGAATTACACTTACCCATTGCAATTTTCTACACACGACTTACACCAACGATGGCCACACGAAAGTTGAACAGGATCTTGCAAAATGTATGAGAAAGAATGGCAACGATAGATTTGTTTGATGCTACTATTATTATGTGTATTGAAACCGACACACGATTGCGACGAAATAGAAAATTCATGTAGTCCTAAATTCTTCTGCTTCATTTGCACTTGTTGTTTTCTCTTTTCAAGCATTGACGACAAACAACTTGAATCAAGTGGTTTTAATGAATTTAAAACACCAGAATCAAAATTGTTTCGAATGCGGTTTTCTAACTTACATAGCGAATAAAAATATGTTCAGTAAAATCGAACGATACCTTTTTTCTTTCTAAGCACAAATTATTCATTTTATTATGCATATATATCTTTATGAAAATAAAGCGAAAACTTTAACTAACTATTCAAGAATTGTGATAAGTAATGACATGAATCTAATATTGCATAGCGTGCTGTACGATATAGTTTATCAACAACAATTACACTGAGTATTGTTAAATCTTTATTTAATATTATCAAAATATATTTTTTGTATTTTTAATGATATTATCTAATGATTGTATGCCAACAGAATCTTACACATTTACTAGTATCTATAGTACAAAAATATCTATTAGTTTTGAAAACTAAGAAATATATTTTTTGTTTGTAATCAAAATATCTCATACTTGTATGTTTCGTATCGTATACATCCTATAGAAAAATTTATTTACAACCCAAATGTTCAATCTCTATTCACTACTGGCAACAACATGTTTCGAATATATAAGACTTATTAGCACTATAATATAACAAATAACTTTAAAAAAACATTCATATTTAAAAACAAAGATATATTGAAAAGAAAAATTTATCTTAGAAACTTTTCTGACTGTTTTCTACATATCTAACAAATAATCTTTAGTTCTCTGTGAGTGCTTTTGCTTTTTCATTTGTATCAGAATTCATATTAACATTTTCTTGTATTTCATTATCTGTAATATGAAGATTATTATCCATTTGTGAACAAACTTCTTTTATATCTTCAGTTGATGTATTAGTTGATGATTCTATCGATTGCGTTGTATTTGTATCTTTCTTTTTATAATAATCAGACCATCGATCAATTATAATTTTAAATGGAGCATTATTACCAAAGATTAAGTGTAATTCATGATGAATGGTATCTGGATCAATTTTTAATACAGTACAAACTCTTACATAAAAGCGAAAATATTTTTCACTAAACTAAAATAAAATATAAAAAGTTATTTGTTTTATAATTAAAATTAATATAGAAAATGAATGATAGTTGTTCACTATGCGGCTTGTCCAAACGTAACGCGGTGACGTTTTTGACACACTTATTTGCATTATCTCTGAAACTATGAGAGCTAGAAACTTCGTTCAAACGCCATTTGCCACAGCTTGTCAAACTCTATTTATGCCGTAAAAATGACTTTTTTCGGTAAAAGTCTCGAGCTTCGAGAAATGGTTTTTGGTTCCGTAACGCTGTGACATAAAAAGACCCTTTTTCTTCCGAGCCGCTAATAAAACTGCAATTTCTTGTGAAAATGTTACTCCAAATTAAACACTTATAGAGCCAGTTTTGTAGAGCATTGAACGGGCTTATAAACGCTAAAAAATATTTCCCCTAAACTATTTTTGCTTAGATAAAAAATGCAAAAAACAAACGTAACGCTGTGACGCAGTTTTTGGTCGACCAATTTTGAGGCACTTATCATGGTCAGAACGATTTGGTTTTTATAAGTGTTAGTCTTCTCTGTATAACTAATCGTTCTACGCAAGAACGAGTTCGATACATCGACATGGAAGCTCACAAAAGATGCAGTAAGTTGGAAACTGTATAAGAGTCTAAAAATTGTCCTTAGCCACAAAAGTCGAAACTAAATAGGTCATATTATAGAGAATGAAATTCTGCATCAAATGGTATGGCCTTCGACTTTTTTTGGAAAAATTTCTTAGTTAGAAAATCTAAAACACAATTTTTAATACTAAAATCTAATTTTTGTACAAAATAAGTCTCAAATTCGTAATCAGCGTTAAAAACTGCATCTAGTAACTCATTCAAATCTATCCAACTCGAAAAAAACATTTTTCGAAACTAGGTGAGCGAAGTGTCGCGTTACGTGGACAAGCCGTATAAATGATATTTACTCTAGTAGAAGTATTTATTGAGTCATTTATATCTTGACCTTCAAATAATTGTGGATTTTGAGTTTTGAAATTAAGTGCTTTACGATAAATTATACCCAAAATTGATTCAGATTGATATGAAAGAGTTTTCATTAGAAAATCTGGATATTTATAACCAACAATTTTTCGAATTTCTTTTATACGATTTGTATCTGTCTGATATCCTGTTTTACCAGAATCGACTATAATCAATAATTAAAATATGATATATAGTCAAAGATGAAAGTATAAACTCACTAGCAGCAGAGAACATTGCTGCCATTTCAATAGCTAATTTCTGACATGTACGTTTTGGATGTTTTTCTTTATTTTGATCAACAACAATAGCATGTAAATTATAAATTTCACCATGACTTGTAGCACCCAACAAAGATAAACAATAATTTACAACACCATTAGCAGTAATAGGTGTCGAACGATCACTAGGTAACTGTGGTTTATATTCAAAAGGTTCAATTGTTTCAGAAATTCGTAATTCTTGGCCCCAATAAACCTAAAAAGGAAAGAAATCATGATAAATCGAAACAAGAAAAAAAAAGAAACTTACAAAATATTGATCACCATCAAGATCAGATCCAGCAATTTTATTACAATCTGGTCCTATATGAAATTGAATTTTCAATACAATGAAAAATATTTCCTTACAACTTACGATTGCCCTTAGTCGAAAAGACAATTGCATCTTTAAGACAATCAAGTTCAGGTAAATCAACAGCTTTTAATGTCATAATATCACCAGCATAAGGACTAGAAATAAATTTTTATTTTTTTCAATTGAGAAAATAAGTCAAAATTCTACCAAGGATTTTTTGTAATAATTACTGGCCCAACAACTGTTTTAAATTCTGGATTTTTAAGTGGTTTTCCATTATCATCAACAACTTGATATCGAATAAAACATTGTCCTGGTTAAAGTTTTGATTCTAATGTACAACCAAACATGTATCAACATTCATTCATAGGTAAAGGTATTTTATTTTTAAGCATATCTCTGTAGAAAAGAAAACGATGTTTTGTCGAAATAAAATGCATGAAATATAGTTCTATTTATATTGTACAACGCGGTGGTTGTTTTTTATTGTTGAACCACTTATCTTGTAGGTCAAGAAATACTCAGTCGGGTACGCCAAGGTCTGACAATAATATAATAATTTGATTGTTAAGTCGAGTTGGAACTATAACAAAAATAACATTGAAACATTAGAAAATAGACAGCCAAAAACAATCGGAGCATGCTCGGTCGACTTTCTTCACATATATCTAAATCCCATTCATCATATTCAAATTTTTGATTGACGAACGAATTTTAATGTAAAATTGATTTAAAGTCGATTCAGAATCGATAATAACGATTCCTTTGCAGTCAGCCATACGAATTTGATAAGCAGATGGATATAATTCCTAATTTATAAAAAGATAAGATCAAGAGAAAAAGAAGAAAGACACATACATTCTGCTCGTATTTAATAAGATAATCAAGTTGTTCACCGATTTTTCTTGCCAAACCTTTAGAAATCAACCCATTTCCATCTGTAAAACAATAATAATTTCGTCTTATATCATCAATCCTTGTTACACACATCTCTTGTTGGTAAACTCTTGAATTGAATTCTTGTAGATCCGAAATGTGGTTAAGTTTAATCTTAAAGAATAATCATTTCATTCGTAGATCATTATTTAAAAAATTAAAACTATTTACCCCACTTGAATTACTCTTAGAAAACCATAGACCTAATCGTGCTACATATTTACCACTCATGAGCGGCGGAAAGGATTTAAATCTAGGGAAGGCTCAAAAATTTTTTCTAGACAATGATAAGTGGTGGTATGACAAAGTGGCAAAATTCTAGTTTTATGATGTTCCTTTTAATTTAAACCCATTTCTAGGGTTTTTCATTTCGAAATTTGGACCATAATGAAAAATTTCACTTCAATGCCAACTTTTCCAGTGGATAATCAGCATGTTCATAAAGATCTTGAACTTAATCTAAAGTAAATAAAATAAGCCGAGCTGAAAAACACTAGTCACTGCTAGAAAGCTTTTCAACTATTTTTTTAAATGAAATAAGGGTAGATATTGTNAGACCAAACAAATAATGCTCGAAAGATTGTCAAATTCAATGGCGCATCTTTTAAGAAAATTCCAGTAAGAGTTAGAATTAGAAAGCTAAAAAATCCTTCCTCCCTTTATATCACTCTCCCATCTCTGCCTGAAAAGTTTTGAGCCTATCCTAGATTTGAATCGTTCCGCCGCCTCTGGGTGTGGGTGGGCGTGGGTGTGGGTGTGTGATACAATAAAATATTAGATTTCATACGGACACCCTCACCCAAACCCACCCACACCCCCCACTACACACCCACACCCACACCCACATATATAGCTAATAATAATGATTCACGTCGATCAGAACTCATTTCATGTTCTTGACCTCCATATTGCCAGATAGCAAAAGTACTAGAACTTGATGAGCGACCATAAACTATGGTGCAGCCAAATATGTAGTCATAAGGACTATCATCATCGTTTGGTTCGTTGTTTATACCGTTTTCTGCTTTCGGTGGTATATTGAAACCAATCAAATTTAATTTGATCGCATTCACAAATCGATGAAAATTATTATGTAATAATGTACGATTTTGATTCATAGTCTTTGTATAATCTTCACGTATTATATCAACTTGATTCCGTAATATCATATAGCCAATGTTCTTCCATCCACCAATTAAACATACATTCTTGATAATTGAAAATGAATCTATTAATTGATAAAGATGATTGAATATATTCATCAAAAAAGTATGAGCATCAGTTCTTGAACATGTTGATGTGGCATTAAAAGATTTTGGATCTACATGATAAATGAAAACCTTGTTTTCGAGTTCGACTATTGCTGCAATACAAGATGAAACACCAGTTGTGCCTAAAACAATTGAATCAATATCAAAATCACCAATTGATACATTTTTAATCGTTTCCATGTGATATTATTGTTTCGAACAGACTATGTACAGTGTTAACAACTATTATTCTTTTCACTTTTTCTTTCTTTATAAATGTAGACTATTGTTTCTTTCTATTCATATCGATGTAAATATTCTTCGAAATTGTTCGTCATTGTGCATAAATGAATCAGCAAATCAACATGTCTTTCCAGTCTAATCCTCTTCAAATAAACATTACTAATGATATTTCAACTCAAAACAATCTAATTTGTGCTATTACAAAAGACAATAATTTAAACTTAATAAAAATGAAGTTTTAATATGTAGTATAAAATAACAATTGACGTTTATTTAATGTTATACTTTTATTTCAAAAAAAAAAATGAAAACAGTTTTTATTAATACATTTTCGTTTTATTCCACAGTAATCTATATAAGAGTAAATGTGTTGACTATGTGATATATAATAACCATCATTATTGAAACTTGAGATATTATATACAAGGTAATAATAATACTTGACGTAGATGTTAACCGAAATAAAACGAAGAAAAAACAAAATTTATGTTGATTTTAATTTCTAGGAGTGGTCAGTGGTAACATGATCAGCACTATTTTTGAATAATTATAATTTTACTTCTAGATTTATAAATTGAATTACAAGTAACGTTTGTTTATTTTTACTTTTATTTTTGTTCTCGAAATCGAGAAATTATAAAACAATGTAAAAAAACGATTAATTGTCTTGATTGTTGTTCATCGATGAACTACATTCAACGATTGTTACTTTAACATGTCTGAGCATTTTGGTATCATTATCCATGGTGTCAATAGCAGTAATATGATGTCTTTGAGTAGTTAAATGTTTTAGATTAGGTATCAGAGAGAAAATACGATGTAGAACAGGAGAATTGATAGAAGATGCAACATCGCTAAGACAAAGCTCAGTGACTGTTGGTAACGTCACTATTGTGTTTTGAATTAAATCTTCAGTTAAATCACAAAAATTTTTAAAACGAAGATAACGTAAAGACGGACATGCCCGTTGTATGAGTATGAATAGACTCAGATTTAATTTATCTTTGGAATAAAAAGTGATCATGACAATTGATGAAAGAGATAGAGTAACATTAGATTGATAACGATTGCAGCGATAGTCAACAAAATCATTAGAAACATATTCGAGTCGGTCAAAAGCGAATGGAATTGTAAATCGGGTATGAAATTCGAGAGAATGAAATACTGAGATAACTTGTTTTTTTGTCCAACGATCAAATAATCGACGACGATCTATTTCAATATTCGCCACACCACTGTGGACACAAAAATCGATCTGGTTCAAATTTGATAAATAATCAAGTAAAAATTTCTCGAGTGTGCGCCATGTCGACATCAGAAAACGTTGCTGTGTGCTGATGTAGAATGATAGATGTTTGAGCGATAAAGCAAAACGTTTCACAAAAGCGCAGAAACTCGTTGTATCCATTAACTGGTCGTAAGCGATAAAACGCAATGATTTAACTTTTGTTGGCCACTCTTGTACTTCTAAGAACTTCGACCTAAAAGTTGAAGGTTGATTATAGACATTATGGAAGCGAAGTTCTAAATGTCCAAGAGCAGGTGCAAACGGCATTAAAACGATAGCAAAACAAATATGAGCCAAGTCGAGTGATAACCGAGTGAGATATCGATTGATCTTGAGAGAGCATGATGATCTAGGGTAAAGATCATCTTTATCCAAAATGAAACAATTTGACACAGATAAAGTTTCCAGACAACTATCCGGCTGCCAAATAAACAACGACAAGTCTATAATTATCTCAGGTTTTTCAGACGTTAAAGTAATTGAAAGTACTTTGAGTCTAGTGAATGTGACTATTTGAGACAGTTTTGGGGAGACTGTTGTCATCCGAAGGTCAAGACGAATGAGTCTTGGAAATATGAAGGAAAGTGGATAATCGAAGTAGTCAAGATTGATTCGAAGCGATATTGTATTATTCAAAGACGATATATATGATAACCATTTCTCAATCGAAACAACAGAAGTGTTGACAGTTGAGAAGTCAATATGACGAATATGTGCATATAGAAGAGCATTCAAGCGATGGTTGTGCAATTGACTAAATGCATGTAATAGATCTGTTGGGTGAAGATAAATGAAAATGTGATAAAGTAACAACTCATTTGGTAATGAAAATAGAACTGTTGATTCTAAAAAAGGGAAATCTCTAGTTCACCAATAATTAACCATTAACATTCGATTACTCACTGTCTGTTGTCATGTTTGCTACATGTCTTTTTGATATTTGAACATATTCAATTTTGTATAATGTAACTCATTGTTCATTTTCTTTGTATCGTATTACTCGCTACATTTTCTGATTCGGTAACATTCGATAGTTCGCTCATCATAGAGGTCATTTTATGCTATCGTTAATCTCATCATTGGAAGAAAAAGGTGAGATTTTTTTCTTTCTCACTTTGTCGATGGCATAAGCTGTTCGAACGGTCATTGGAAAGAAAAAACGTTACAGATTTTACAAGACGTTTCAATCGTCTAACGTTTGTGCTAGCAAAATATATTTTTAATAAGATGATTCCAAACATTGGATAAGATAAAATAAGAATTTGATTCTAAGATCTACTGTAATACATGATTAATGCATTCACAATAAAATTAATACATAAAGTATTTGAATAGATTATTTAATATTATTTAAATCAAATTCAAATTAATTAAAATAAAATACATATGTTATTAGTTTGATTAATGATTTATTGATTCTCTCTTCTCAATATAAATGCACGAAAAACAACTTTTCCTGATGAATGTACGTCTGTACACAAAAGTAGAGAAGAACACATGTTAACTAATATTTTTATTAAACTAATTGTCAATTCATTTTTGTTAAAATAAAAAGATTTGCTTCATCGAATTCTCCTACCAAAAACAAAAGTTAATGACGTACAATCGATGCTTTTATTGACTTTTTGTCCTCTGATAGTGTTGCTTCGTCTTCGTATATATAAATATAAAGAAGAAAGAAGCAGCATAATTATATATCAATTAAATAGAAACCCAGGTTGAGACGAACGGTTAAAGAACGTGTTCCGAACTTCGAACGATCTCGTTCCGAACCAGTAGATCGGAACGTGTTCGCTCGTTCCGAACGAGTAGATCGGAACATGTTCGCTCGTTCCGAACGCGTTCTCTATATCGTTCGTTGTCATCATGAATGCTCAGTCTGATTGGGTTATAGATATACCACTTGGTTTCTACTTCTGATACAAAGGTGTCGCTTCTTGCTTTGAAGCTTTCACTTTTATTGTGACAGAAAACAAGTCAGAATAATGTTCAAATTAACAACATAATTTTCATAGAAAAAGTTCCACTAATGAAATGAAGCAGAAAATGTATTCACATTTAACGTATTTGCTGAATGATGTTAAATAATATTTGAGTAAAAGAAAAGAAAATATCTGATAAAAAAAATATTTTGTTCTATTTTAAATCTTATCAATAGGAGTATAGATTTGGCAATGAAGCTAAATTATTGAGAAGTTTTTCAAGATAATTTGATCGAATTTTATTAATAAATAAATTTTTCAAATTAAGTAAATTTTAATCCAATAAAAACTAGCTAAAAAATTTAGATTAACAATAAATCAATCTTTTAAATGAAGTCATTATAGTCCATGTTGATAAGAAATGAAAATGTTTTGGTGATAACATTGAAACGTTAATTTCGACATAGATCAAAGTTTGACTTTGATGGGAAGAGTCGAGTCAGTAAAACGACTTTGCGATTATATATTGAAATTTCTTCATAAACATAATAAAAATTGAAAAAAAATCAGGTAATTTTGATAAGTGTTACGAGTAGTCATCTAATTTATTTTCATTAAGCTTCGGACATTTTATATCGGATTAGTATAAAAACGATTTGTTTGACATGGACGAAGAAAAAACTGAGAAGACTTGATAAAAAGTTAGAATATTAAGGAAGAAACTCGCATTTGTCTCGACGATATTGATGAGACTTTATTTAAGTTTAACGTCAATTACGAACTTATCTATTATTGTAAATAAACTTTTGTATAATATAGGAATGATTGATGACATTTGTTTTTCATGAAATAATTCTAATTCAAAACAGTTTTTTTTTTCTAAAATGAATTGAACTTAACAATACTTTAACATATTAAACATTCGCTGTGATATGATAATATGAGGCATCGCCACACAAATAATAGACAGAAAAATCAAATTATCTAACACAAAAGAAATAAAGTAAATGTATATCATTTTGATATGAGACAAGTACATTTGTTGTAAATAACTACGAATAATAGAAACATAGTTCACACAAAAACTTTCTTAAGTACTCCAGTGCTACTCTTATGCGTAAATGATTCTGTGCTAAATGATAAAGAATAAGAAAAAGAGAATATTCACAAAAATATTTTGTAGTGTGATTAAGATACAAAATTCTAGATTTCACTTACCAATTTTCATTGACAGAAAGTTTTTCAACTTCTCTTTAACTTGAATTTGTAATTTATGTGAAAATAACCAACAATCCACTCATCTTTGACTTTTTTTTGATCATTCTATACGCAATTACTGCATAATCAAAGTGTATTTAAGGATTTTCAAAGCACGGATACAATGGTAATCAAGATTAATTCTAATGATAAATTTACAACAGATATTAATCAACGTACGTAGATGGATTAATAGAAAAAACTTAAAAAGCAAGATGATATTCGCAGTATACCATTGTCATGAAGTTTTTATGCCTAATTCTATAATATTATAGGAGTACACATTCAAATACTATAATTTGAAAACCTATTGACTTCCTGCATGAGTATTCGTAACTCAAAACCTCAGTAAACATCTTTACTTCATTTGAACTACAGTCGATCGAGCATCGCACTTGATAGTCCTGAGTATTTTGTTGGCTTTTGCATCATATAGCATGAACCAACTAAGATATTACCTATTTGTCTTTAGACTTTGTTCATCATTAACATAGTTCCGCTACAAACGATTCACTCATGCCATGATCGCTTAAGTAAAGTCAACGACAGTGATAAGTATTTAGATAAAATTAGAATTCAGTAATCTTGTGGAATATACGATCGACAAATTATTCAGAGTTACGATTGATTCGTGATTAGTTAAGCTCTCTCACTTTCAAGATCTGTTTCAAGAAAACATTATAGCATTCGATTCTCATGATTCGCAAATCAATGTAAAAAATACTTTAGCGAACGCCGTTTCTGATCAGGCTAAAATCTCATACTTACCAACGTCACCGTTAACCTCATGGAACAGATATGAATTCCTCTAGAAAAAAGGATTCTAGGTTCATTTTTTATTTTGAAAATGTTATGTGTTTAACAATGTGAAATTGAAATATTTATAATACAACGTTAGTCTTTTCAAGTAGAATCATATGCCTTGAACTATCAGCACTGCTAAGTTGGCTCAAAAAATTCAAAAGAGCTTTATATTTCGACGTTTTACACTCGTTAATAAACCACAGACCATAGTTGTATCACTAGTTGAGAATGCATCAGCTTTTGAAACATTTCCAATTTTCATCCAGCAAGTACCACCATTGAACGTTGTCCATGTATAATGAGTGCATTGTTGAGTTTCAGCACATTTTCCACCACAAAGTGCTGCTGAAATTTCCACATGAGACAGATCGTTCCCGTGGAAATCACAAGACATGGCCCAATTCTGTCCATTCCATTGAACGGTGGAATTCGTTATACCTTGCTGGTTTTCATTTACGATGCCACAAATCATGCCTGGATCATTATTAAAGAATGCATCGTTTTTCGAGACATCTCCCGTTTTCATATAACAAATACTTCCAGTCCAATTCATCCATGCATAGTGAGTGCATTGCTTGGTTTCAGCGCATTTTTTACCGCAGAGTTCTGCTGAAATTTCCACATGAGACAGATCGTTCCCATTGAAATCACAGGACATGGCCCAATTCTGTCCATTCCATTGAACGGTGTAATTCTCTGCGCTCTGCTTGGTTTCATTGACAATACCACAAATCATGGTTGCATCAGCGGTTGGGAATGCATCAGCTTTCGAGACATTACCCATTTTCATCCAACAAGTACCACCAGTCCAATTTGTCCACGTATAATGGGTGCATTGCTGGGTTTCAGCGCATTTTTCACTGCAGAGTTCTACTGAACTTCTGATGTATTGTAGGTAATTTCCATTGAAATCACAGGATTTTGCCCAATTCTGTGCATTCCATTGAACGGTAGAGTTATTTGTGTTTGGCAGGATATAGTCTCTAACACCACAGATCATGGTTGTATCATTCGTTAAGACTGCATCAGCCTTGGAAACATTACCCTTTTTCATCCAACACGTACCACCATTCGCCGTTGTCCATGTATAATGAGTACATTCCTTCGTTTCAAGGCATTTCGGACCGCAGAGTTCCGGTGCAATTACCACTTGAGACAGATCGTTCCCCTGGAAGTTACAGGATCTAGCCCAATTCTGTCCATTCCAATAGATGATCTGGTCTAGTGTATGGAAAAAAACTTGACAAGTTCAAAAATATTTGCTTGAAAAAAAAATTATTATTTCCGTTTGTAAAAATGATTGTGTCTTTGCAGATAGTTCTAAGATTCATTGGACCACTCAGAATAATAGAAGATTTTACTTGACCAGATGGAGTTTGGTGAACTCTGTCAAATGGTATAATCTATAGTTCAGAATTGTCAGCATCAGAAAAACATGGCAATATAGATACGAGAGCGCTTTAAAATTCGAATACTACATCGACAATCACCCGTAATCATTCTGTTATATACTTTTCTACTGTTCGAAAGTTTCTGTTTATTGCGCTTGCAATCTGAAAAGGTAATTTTTCAAGAATTGATTATGGATTCAAAAAATGATTAAGATGCAGTTCTTCATCATAGAAGAATATTGCACTTTCGATTTCTATAGCAGTTTCAGTAATTTTGGTAGTATCAGCATGTTTTCATTTTGCTGTATACTTTGAAGAAATGCCGGTTTAACAGAAAGAAAATACAAACGCATTCATAGAAAGAGTAATGAACGCTGCATTTCATATGCTGTGTAACTAGTTATTGTCAGCTTCCATTCATGAGAAATTCGATGAATTTACAGCTCGGAACTTCTCTGGACGACTGCTCGATACACTGCCGATTTAAAAGCTACAACATTTCTTTCGTTGGACTGTATTCTGCTGTATACAGTCAATTGAATAGACTACGGACATCTACTCCTAAACGACTTGTTATCGAGTTTAGATGGTGATAGTTAAAAGCTAGGAATAAGGCGTCCAAAAACGAAAGTGTTGTCGTTTTTAAGCAAATTATACAGTTCATCTATTTACAGTGGACCTAACTTCTTGAAATCACATACTTCTCTTATTCGGCATCACTAAATAAATTTTTTTCACTTGGTTTGAATGCATATAAGAACCAGTCTCATTCCCGACCAGCTATTGTAGGATCAGTAAGAGGTTGAAAGATGTACTGTTCGCGCAGAGCTTTGTGATTTAATGATTATTTTGTACAAATGTTTTTTTGCGAACCTATGTCAACAATATGTTGACTTTCGTGAAGCCAGGAAGTGGCAGTTTTCAAAATGAACCATCGCTATATTCCTAATGCAAAAGTATATTAACAACTATACCTGGCATTTTACTGCTATATTTCGTTCCTAGAATAGAGCCAAGAATGATTGCCATGATGCATACCATCACCAAGATGCAAATTGGAATCAAAAATCTTTTCTTAATATACCAATGGCGACTTGGCGGTCTGATAAAAGTTTTCAAGCAAAATCAGATAGTTATATCAATTGAAAAAGAGCCAGGTTCTTACGGAAACTATCTCAAAATCGATCGAAATCTACCTTGTTCAATTAAAGTGACTCACTTTATTTTAATTCAAGTCATTACGAAGTATGCTTGCTCATGAGTATTGAAAATCAAAATCTAACTCAAGAAGTTGAATGATGTAACTTTGATAAGCCAAATATGTTTCGATTACTCAAATTGTTAGTTTTTTTTAATTGCTGATCTGAAAACCTTTGTGGTTACTTTTTCGCTGAAACAGTAGATGTAGTTTTCAAGTACTAAAATACATGGTATAAATCAGTGGCCAATATTTTTCAAAATTATTTTTTTTGAAGGTACTTAGTGATATCAATTTGACTCTCAAGTTCCTCATGGTTTCTTCGCAAAAAAAAGAAGTAATTTTCTTTTTTTTTTGCATTGTATTATGACTTTCACCATGTATCGCAGTTTGTATGACAGCGAATATTCGTTATACTACTCTGTTCTTCAAGCTTTTAGAGAAAAAAACCTAATATTGAAGGAAAATCATCATGACCTTTTCACCTAGTTCAAGTTCGATTAACAAAAGGGCTTTTCTTCTCGTTCTTCATGATTGACTATTTACTTCTATTTTAATGATTTTATTCTTGTAACGTTAATAGCTTAAAATGTTTTTCGTCAAAGATGCATCAGTATAAGAGATGATCATTAATAAGGAAACTATATATTTCTTTTTTATGCGAAGGAATCTAGATTTTTGAGCTTTTGGGAGAACCTCTTGAACATCAACAAGTCTGAGAGAAGTTATCGAATAGTCTTTCGAAAATTTTTTACAATGTTGACTATGAATCTTGATTTTCGACTTTAGTTCTCAATTAAAATTATGAATTTTATTAGTGAGTTATGAACATGAAATTTGATTATATGATCAGTTCGAGCTATTGATACACAATGACTCGTATGGCTACTCATGTTATTGAAAAGTAGTATAGGAAAAAATATGGTATGGTCTTCATATGGATCCAAAGTCCTTGGTGAGTGTGCTCTGTTAGATGAAGCAAGATAAAGCAAGATGAAGCTTACTCAATTTTTGGATAAAGGCATGCATCTGAAAACAGATATATTTGAATTTAAAATACGCTGTTGGCAATGTTCAATATACCTTCGAATGGAGGTTCCAATAGTGGTTCCTGTGGTACTATTTGTTTTAAATGAATGATGTGCAGATCAGGCGCTGGATTTAATAGTGATTGTACTTCCATAAATGTTCCCGGCAACAGTAAAATTTCCTCCTCATCATCAAAATAGGAATGAGCGCGTATATTTTTACCATTTAGCACTTCAATAGAAAATATGGTTCTCTCTCCTGTTGTGCCCAAATAGAGATCATTTTCTAACACGGATAACGATTTTGTGGTAGATGAGAAAGCCCACCATATAATTTGAGCTCCTTTCTGAAATTCATCAGTAGTATTCTTTTTCAAACCTCGCCATACGACCTGTGGTGCTGAACATGGTATTTTAACTAAGGCAGTAAGAAAAAGTTTAAGATATCTAAGCCACGGTTGTAATTCTTCTCGATCACCTTTCCTAAGAGCATTATTAAGATGAAAATAAAGGCTTCCGCTTGTATCATTCCACTCCATTGTATAGAGATGAACTGCAGCTGATTCATCACGAGTCAACTCATCAGGCGGATTATCTGGAATACGTTGTATAGCCATCGAAGCATACTTAAGAATGTCAGGAACAATGAGTTGTAACGGTATGCATGCATCAATCAGCGGAAGTACTGGCTCTTGAGCATAACCAATAAATGGGCACAACATCGTTCCTTGATGATCGGAATCTTCTATTAGCAGGCGATGGTTTTTGCGTTGAAGACGAAAGTCACCGTCGTTCATCATTATTTCGTGCCCACCATTTTCAAACAACATCTGAAGTTTATCAGTTGTCTCAGACATAGTTTTGTTATCTGAAATAACAAAAATGCACAGAGTGTTCAATACATTGATGATTAGTTAGTGAGAGACTGCTTCTATAATATAAAACCAATCCAGTACTACTGTACTACATTCAAATATGATGAACTGAATAGCAAAGCAACATAATATAAGAGTAATGCATAAAATATCATTGCTTTATCTTTTTCAACTAGTCTGGAGGTACGCAAATTGCTGGTGTTTTTAACAGGGTATTTTGTTATGTGAGAAAAGTCTAGCAAAAAAATCTTAGATTTTGAATATTTAGGCTAGTCGTCACCAATTGCAGAAAAACTAGAAGCATTAGTTCGGATCAATATGTTTACGGACTCGTCCAATGACTTGGGATCGTTTCTCGCCGCACAAAACAAGCATGTAGTCGAACTTTACACTAAAAACTGAGCCAGATTCAGACTCGAGATAAGAATTAAGATTTAAAAATCTGCATTGCATGGAGGAAATTCTCTATCAAGTTTTTTATAAGAGAGATGCAATTTCATGTGCTTTTTGTATCAGAAACTATTTAGTATGTCTTCTCATCAAAACGAAAATAAATTTTTTCAAAGGCTACTACGGTTAATACACTAGTAAGACAATGATTATGCACTGCTATGTCTATTTGAAAAGCATTAGCCATCATCGTATCACTTTCACGACTGGCATTCTAATGAGCAGCTTCAATGTCAATAAAGCATTGATAAATGTTAGTAATCAGTAGTACAAAGAAAAGATAAAATTAAAGATGGAGAGTGCTAATAAGATAGATGAACTATTGGATATGCATTTGTTCGCACTATGCCTGAGTGGTAAAAGAAAGGATTCTTCTTTTTTTAAATGTCAGCAAGTGTAAGTTGGAATAAAAATAAGTGGCTGTCTTACAAATATCCAGTACATTTATGCCAGTCGTGAAATCCGACTGGTCTTCTGTAGCAAGAATGTCTTCTTTGTTGTAGTTACGAGAGTATCTGTTGCTTTTTCTCATTAAACCAACTCGAAAACAGGAAAAACAAAAAAAAAACAGTATTCTGAACTGAAAAACGATCGTTCCGAGAACACTACATTTCCAGCTCTTTTCAGAGAACCGAACTAGATCAGGCTTTTAGCGAGTTCAGATGAATAGCGATTGGAAATAAGTCAGAAACTCATTGTACTTGATCAAGAGGTCCTATAAAAACATAACAAAATCAAGATTGGTGATCTCGACTATCAGAAATATTGAAAAAGCGAAAGAAATCAGCAGAAAATACACCAAGCAGCATACTATTCGTAGAAAAAATCGAAATGAAACTTTGTTCAACTATTCTGTTAGTCGAAAACAGTAAGAGATAACAAGTACTTTTTTTCTAGTTTCTGACTATTTCCTCGATTGCTCGAAAGGTATCGATTAGATTCTTGGTTTTCCAATAACTGAAAAACTATTGAAAGTCACCATTTTCTGTTTATTGCCTTTCCACTCCGGAATATTGCTTTCATATTTCGCTAATTTTGTTGACTAATTTTGATGAAAA